TGCCATATAGGTGGGTAGATGTATATTGGGGAGTTAATGGGAGAAAGATAGATCACTATTTTTGTCTCTGAAGGTCAGTTATCTGCTTGTGCTCAGCCCCAATCTTGGGATGGTTGAGACCTGTTCTGTTGGGGTTTTATAGATTGCCTTGGGTTTGTCCTCCACAGTGAACTCAGGCAGTAGCCCAGCTGTGGGTTGCAAGGTTGATAGCTGGAGATTTTTAGCTGTTCCCTGTCCCGCCCAGGCTCAGATGCACTGCCTCAGAACCCTGGTCAGGTTGTTTGCGGTTATCTGCGAGTGCACAGTGCAAATCTCGGAATGGTTGAGTCCTATTATGCTTCGGGTTTACGGGTTGCTTTCTATTGATCGTATTGCCGGCAGACCAGTCTGTCAGCAGCAGCCACGGCTTGCTAGAACAATATTTGGAAGTTCCATGCTGCTACTTGAGAGTAAGGCGAGGTGCCCTGCTCTGGCTTAGATACACGGCTTCAGATTTGGGTCCACAGATGACGTCAAAAGTCGCTGCCCCGCTCCCTCTCTCTGTGCCATGGGAAAACTGTCCTGCCTTAAGTCCAAGCTGAGATCTGATGCTGGGACAGGATCAGATTTGTTTTTTGATTTTTTGCTGGAAATGCCACTGTCTGAACGGCTGTCTTTAGCCCCGCCCTCTAAACTCTGCATTGGCAGGGTAGTTGCATAAGCGGTCCCAACCTGAGAGTCTTAAGATGCTCGTATTTTCCTTAGTAGCGTTTTAAAAATGCGAGTTCAGGAAACTGACGTTCTAGATCTTATGATAGTTCCGGAGCTATAGGTTTGCTATATGAACGCTTCCTTCGTGAGATCCCCCTCCGTTTTCACCAGAGCGTTCCTTCCCTGGCTCCCCTGACTGCAGCCCTGAACCTGAAGGCCTGAATTTCTTGCCTTTGTATGTTACACTTTTTCCTCTAGCTGCTTTCAAGATTCTGTCCTTATCTTTGATTTTGGAGAGCTTGATTATTATATGTCTTAGTTATTATCTTTTAGGGTCTATCCGTCCTGGGGTTCGTTGAGCTTCTTGAATGCTTATCTTTTCACTTTTCAGGATGTTAGGAAATTTTCTTACAGAAGCTCTTCAACTGTCTCCTCTGTGGACTTCTCTGATTCTTCTTGTTCCAGAATGCCAATTAATTCTTAAGTTATTCTTCTTCATGTTGTCCAACATGAATCTTAGACCTTCTTCATATTTTTTAAAATCCTTTTTTGTGTTTGCTCTTCTTAGTAGTGTTGGATGTATCTTCTAGTTCACGGATTCTGGCTTCTATCTCTTCAATTCTACTCCTTTGCCCTTTCAGTGTATTGTCCATTTCTGATAGTCTGTTATTGTTTGGGCCTCTTTCTGTAGGTTTTGAATTGTTTCCAATGCTGTATCTATCTTATTTAAATCGTTCCTGTAACTTTCCTGACTTCTTCCTTATTTTTCTCAACTCCATTGTATAGTGTTTTGATACATTTTAAAATCATTTTTCTGAATTCCTTCTCAAGCATTTCCAAAGCCTGCCCATCTTCCAGTATGGAGTGTAGGTTTACTTCCAGCTCGTTTGCCTCAGTCACTTTATCTCGTTTCTGGACATGTGCAGATATGGTC